GGAATAACCTTGTGGATGTTTGTCATGAGAAAACTGAGAGAAGATCATATGAAGCTTTGCTCAGTCAGTGCAAGTCGATCACAACAGGCAGGAAACTCCACCAAAGCCTTCTGGAGGCAGGATATCTTTCTCAATCCGATTCATTCTTTGCCAACCTTCTCATACGCATGTACGGAAGGTGCAACAGCATCAGCGATGCTAAAAACATCTTCGATTCAATCTCTAAGAGGAGCGTTTTCTCCTGGACTATCATGCTTGCCGCATATGCCCAGAATGGGCATATCCGCGAGGCGAGAGATATCTTTGACAAAATGCCCTCGACACTCAAGAATGTTGTTTCATGGAACTCAATGATTTCTGCATACTCTCAAGCTGGGAATTCTAAAGAAGCCTTTTGCATATTCAAGCTCATGGATCAGGAAGGGATTCGACCAAATGAAATTACTCTGATTAGCATTCTGGATGGATTCTCCAGTTGCAATGCCTTAGAACAAGGCAAGAGTGTTCACAAGAGCATTGATTCCACTTTCATTCTTTGTGACGTTCGAGTGGGAACTGCGCTGGTCGACATGTATGGAAAATGTGGAGATATTGGAGAGGCCAAGGCTATGTTTGATGCGATGCGGACCAAAAACGAGGTGACATGGAATGCCATGATGGCTGCATATGCCCAGAACGGGCATTCCAACTTGGCAATCCGGCTGTTCCAGCTCATGAGCGTCGAAGGTGTCAAGCCCGACGACGCTAACTTTGTGAGCGTGTTGGAAGCTTGTGGTGACGCTGGAGATCTAACGGTTGGTCGACTGATTCACAGTTTTGCTACTCAAAGTGGATACGAATCAAACCTAATGGTGGCAACTTCGCTGCTAAACATGTACAGTAGATCGAGAGAGTTTGATCGGGCAAGAGAGATTTTTGACAGTGCTGAAAGCAAAGACGTTGTTTTGTGGACTGCTCTGCTGGTCGCATATGTCCAGAGCGGGCATGGCAAGGAAGGTTTTCGAGTTTTCGTTTGCATGGACCTGGAGGGATTTACACTGGACGAGGCTTGTTTCATCAGTGCTCTCGACGCTTGTGGGAGTGTCCTCGCTGTGAACGAAGGAAAACTCGTTCACGCGAGCTTGCTAAGTGACTATAAATATTATCTTAGCACCAAGATCCAAAATGCGCTGGTTCACATGTATGGACAGTGTGGTCATCTCAGAGAAGCGAGAAAGATCTTCGAGGACATGAGATCAAGGGATAAAGTGTCGTGGAATGGGATTCTCACGGCCTATGCCCGCCACGGGCAGATCCACGACACTCTCGACTTGTTCTTGAGAATGAACCTCGAGGGCATACCACCCAATGCAATAACTTTCACAAACGTTCTCTCTGCTTGCAGCCATGCAGGCAAGCTCTCCAAAGCGATGTTTTTCTTGGCTTCCATGCAAGGCGACCATGGAGTTTGCCTCGAGAAAGACCACTACGCGTGCGCCGTCGATCTGCTCGGACGGCTGGGACAGCTCCACGAGGCAGAGGCTTTGACGGACGGGATCTCCAGTGGCATTGGATGGATGGCGTACCTGAGCGCTTGCAAAGCTCACGGGAATGTCGAGGCGGCAGCGAGAGCTGCTGATAGAGTTCTCAAGCTGGATCCAGAGAACTCGGCACCTTACGTCTTGTTCTCGAGCACCCAGGGAGCTAGTAAAAATCTGGAAAGCTTTTAGATTGAAATACTTTGGTCCTAGCTTAGCAATGACAAACAACCTTAGGAAGAAACAGACGTGCTTCAGTGCGCCCTTGGGATTTTCCTGCGCCATAGCTCCCTCTCTACTGGAACCTGGCCTTGGACTCTCTCCTAGAACACTATTTTTCTCCCGTGAAACAAAATATAAAAGCTTTTACCGGCGAGCAAACCTGCAGTTGAGTCCATGACGACAGTGCCAGAACGGGTTCTCGATGTCACTATCGCTTTCATCGTCCAATAATTCTTCTTCCTCTTGCGGTCGTCCCAGAGGTTGCAAGTGCACATTTGTATCTTATGCCACAGAAGAAAACGCAGAAAAAATCAAGGCAGAAAAAGTTAATTCCATTAGAATATCCTAGTATACACTAAAAAACTTTAAACAAAAAAACAAATGTATAAAACTTAAATGTAATCATTTTGTCTTCTTCATAAAAGATAACTTAAATTGGAAGTATAAATTACTTTATTTATTTAATAACCTTAAATACTTAGAATATATGGATATGAGAAAGATATTACTCTTCTAAGCTGTTACTTTTTCCTTTTATTAAGTTCATGCTTTGGTATGCAGTTATTTCGAGAAAATCCAAATTCTATATTACCTCGAAAGTTTATTTTAGATCTTATTTTGAAAGAAATAAAAAGAATACCTGGTAATCAACCATATTATAGAGAGATGGTTTTAGCAAACATTTTAAAAATTAATAATAGACTATTAGAGGTATCTATCAGATGTGGTCATCTGGATGGTCCATGGTATTCAAATATGATGTGTAATATATTTCCATCTTGGGGTGTAATGCAACCCGGATTAAGTTTGCGTTATAACTTTGAGAGATTATATAGATTATTGGCTGCTCAAGACATTAGTAATTATGGTACAGTAGAAATAACACAAGGAAATAAGCTATTCAATTAGTAATGAGGAATTTCAAATCCAAGAGTACATGTTTAATGTTTCAGAATACTCAAGTTTGGTTTTGTATCAAAATGATGATGGTTATTCTGTTGGCTTTTTAGATCATGCTTGAAAACTGGACCATATCTTTCTGAAATATCAACATTAAAAACCAATAGAATGCTTATATCACCTAATGGTCAATATTATCTTGTTATGCAAGATGATTGTAATCTTGTACTTTATAAAGGAATAACTCATACTCCAAACTATGCTATATGGGCAACTAAATCATCTAAGCCAAGAGGATGGTCTTGTTACCTTACATTTCATATGAATGGTAACTTGGTTATTTATACATCTATAAATGGAGCATTATGGAATTCAGGTGTGAGATGTAATGGATATTGTTGGCTAACATTAATGATATGTCTTGAAATACAGGACAAGTCGCTATAAATGATTATCAAGCTCAAGTTTGCATATGGAGTTCTAAAATGTAGCAATGATAGGTTTTAGTTTTAATTGTTTTTTTTTTATCTTCAATAGTGCCGGTTTGTATTTTCAATTTTACTATATATGAAAATTATATTAGTATCTGATCTAGTAACGAAAAATATATTTCTTTCTTGTGCATCTTAGACCGTAGATATTTTTAATAATCTAATAGTTATTTTATTAATACTTGGAGACTTTCCCAAGATTGATATAATACTCTTATTATCTACCCTATAAAATATATTTTTGCCTTTGTACAATATATTCTGGTCATTTTATGAATAATAATATGACAATGAATACTCTAACGATTAGGGAGTGAACCTTAGGCTAACCTCCTCAAACTAAGTGCAGAAAACCTTTATCAAATTACTTTAAGAGGCCTTAAAGTTGATGTAGGAAGCATAACTTCTAAGCTTCATCATAAAAAAAATCAATCTTCATTTGTACTCACAAGGGTTGTGAGCTTAACAACTTTCCTATGACTCTAACCAACAATTGACATTTTAGTTATCAGAAGATATTGTGACGATTTCCATCCCACAATATCACAAGGGATGTAATGAATATTATTAAGATATCCAAGTGTCTTATAGGATATTTTCAATCAAACAGATGTGATCTTCCTATATTATATACTTTCTTTAATTCTTTTATAATCTAGAACTCCATTTACACGTATTATTTCTTATTTAAAATTAGATGACTAGAAAAGATAATTCTACTGTTTTACTTGCACATTATTCTCTTTGCTTAAGCAAACCTGTAGCAGGTAGTGAATATACCTAAAATATACTTGACTATTCTAGAATATTCTACCATCTACTGGTTGTTATTCATTTAGATTATTTATAATTTATAAACTTTCCTAAACACTTTATTCTAGTATATTCTACCATCTAATAGTTGATTAATATTGTGTTTATAAATTATAAACATGTTTATAATTATAAACTTCCATTTAATCAATTAGATTAATAAATAGAAATAACACTAGTATTAAGAAAACCAAGCATTGCAATTCCAATATATATTTGATCATAGATTTCTGGTGGTAAGAATTCATAATAAACAATGATTTTCTACTTTAGTGATTAATCTTTCATTTGAACTTATTGGCCTTAAACATGTCAAGGAATAGTGTCCAAGAGGAAAGGAGTATGACGCTTGCACCAGGCATATCCGCTACCTCCCAACGACGCTAACTTTGCGAGCATAGTAGAACCCTAATGTAGGCATTTGGCCGAGGTAAGAATCAGATGAGAATAAAAAAGAAAAAAACCGAAGTTTTGGGGACTGCTTTGTTGGTCGCATATGGAAAGGTTTCGAGTTTTCGTTTGCATGGATCTGGAGGGATTTACACTGGACGATGCTTGTTTCGTCAGTGCTCTCGACGCTTGTGGAGTGTCTCCGCTGTGAGCGAAGGAAAACTCGTTCACGCAAGCTTGCTATAGATCGTGTCTCAGTACCAGGATCCAAAATGCGTTGCTACCAGTGTGGTCGTCTCAGCGAGAAACGAAGACTTCCGATCGGATACAGAGTCGTGGAATACGGCCTATGCTCACCAAGACTTGTTCTTGAGAATGACCCTCGACGGCATACCAGCGTTCTCTCGGCTTGCAGCCATGCAGGCAAGCTCTCCAGAGCGATGTTTTTCTTGGCTTCCATGCAAGGCGACCATGGAGTTTGCCTCGAGAAAGACCACTACGCGTGTGCCGTGGGACAGCTCCACGAGGGAGAGGCTCTGATGGACATGGATGGCATACCTGAGCGCTTGCAAAGCTCACGGGAATGTCAAGGCGGCGCCGATAGAGGTCTCAAGCTGGATCCAGAGAACTCGGCACCTTACGTCTTGTTCTCGAGCACCCAGGGAGCTAGGAAAAACTTGGAAAGCTTTTAGATTCAACAGCTTTGGTTCAGCTGCGATGACAAACAACCTTTGGGTGGAAATCCAAAACGATCACCTTGTCCAGAGCCGGAAGGAGCTTATTTGCGTAGGCCGTGTGCGCGGGATGGACAAGGTACGCATCTCGCCCCTCCGGAGACTCGAAAGTGGAGGTGAAAACATGAGTGAAATCCTGGTGGAGGTTCTCCACGCTCACATCGGTGCCCCTGTCACAGAAAGAGGTTGGATGAGAAGGAAAAGAAAGGAAGATACATACCACTCAAAGCCTTTCATCGCTTCAATCGACTGTGGAAGCGCCTCGTAACCAGCAATCAGAGATGCAACCTCTTCTTCCGAGATCTCGGGCTTGAATCTCGCCAGCAATACGTGCTTCAGTCCGCTCTTGGGATTTTCCTGCGCCATAGAATGCCTTTCCTCTCCACTAAGCTCCGAGATCTAAAAACCTGGCCTTGAGAGTCCCTCCTAAATCTAAAAACCTGGCCTTGACTCGCTCCTAGAACTCTATTCTTCTCCCGGAAAAAAAAAGTATAAAGATTCTATCTCAGCTCGTGATTACCGTGAGCAAACCTGCAGTTGACTCCATGACGACAGTGCCCGTTGGCGAAGTATCTACAGAGCTGCGTCTTGTAGAACGGGTCGCGAAGATCCATTTCGACGTCACTGCCACTTCCATCGTCCGAGAACTCTTCTTCCTCTCTAATAATGTAGCGGTCGTCCCAGAGGTTGCAGGTGCACATTTGTATCTTATTCCGGTACTCCATGCCACAGGTATAACAAAACTCGCAGCCACACCTATAGCACCAGAACACCGAGTATCATTCACAAGAAAAAGAACGAGGCAGAAAAATCATACCTGCAAGTCATGTGGTAGCACCCTTCCAAGAGCTCAATCATCCGCCTACACTGCTTGCACTGCCTCCAGTTCTGGTTCTCCGCGAGCCTGTAGAGCTTTGCGTCTGCGGCGTCTTTTAAGTCGAGAGGCAGTCGCTGGTATCCAGCACAAGTCGAGAATGTATGCCAGGGAACTCGGCAGTCGAGGCAGAAGTATCTGTGGCAAGCTCCACACAACTTCCGGGGCTTGGGGTCGAGGAAAGTCCTTCTATCCATTAAGTCCGAGCAGTTTGGATACGGGCAGTAGACTCTCTGCGCGTCAGGGATGCGCTCCTCCTCTATCTTCTTCATGAAAACTTTGAGAGCCGCCTCGGACAGCAGCTTCTTGCACTCGCCCTCGGTGAACTTCTTCGTGCACTCGACTTGCGGGCAAGCCACCGGGAAAGTCCGCCCGGTTGTCACTGTAGCCTCGACGTGCTGCTTCACGCACGATGAGCAAAACTTGTGCGAACACTCGGTGAGAGTGTAAATGTCCGCATCCTGGACGTCCTCGAGGCAAATGACGCAGTGAAACATGGACCTGCTGCTGGAAGCCGTGTTTTGCCTCTGGCTGATCGAGACCGACTTTGCTAGATTGTCTGCTGGCCAGTTCTCTCCGTGGAGCGCAAGGTTGATATCAAACGAGTCGAAACTATCGATGAGCCCGATTGCCTTGTCATACTCGGCCATCATAGCCTTTGTAGAGACCCTCCAATATCCCTTGATCTAGGAAAGAAAAAGAAACGAAGCGTCTGAATCAGGAAAGTTGGCGAAAGAAAAGAAGGACCCCAACCTGGTTATTGAGAGGGCGAGAGTCCGTATAAGCAATGATCTTGCGAGCTCCCATGGACTGAGCCGACTTGAGAACGTCAACGAGAGCATAGTACTGCGCGACGTTCTTCCCGGTGGGAGTTGCGACGTATCTCTTGAGCTGGAGGAGCTCGTTTCCACTGGAATCCATGATCGATCCACCAAGAGCGGCACCGACGATCACACCACCCTCGGAAACCGAGTAGCCTTTGAAAAAAACCCGGAAGAACGTCCCCGTGATCCCCGACTGGAAAGGCCGCTCGTACAAGTCACCGTTCTCCTCCCACTCCCTCTCGTCCATCTCATCGATCTCGCGAGCCATTGTCTCGTCGTGGAGCAGCTGGTCCGCGCTCTCGTTGAGCGCTTTGAGCAGCTTGGCCGCTTTGCCGCGATCCTCCTCCTGCTTCTGGAGCGCCTCCAGCTCCATCTCCTGGACGCGAATTGCCAGCGCCGCGTCGCCCTCCACGCCCAGGAGCTTGCTCCTCCATCCAGCTAGAAACGAGAAACCAGTATCACCATCTGCCAAAATCCGGTCGTCTTCTCACCTTTTCCGCGATCATCCAGCGTGTCAATGCCCATCGATGCCGCCAGCGCCTCGTTCATCTGCATTTGGAAGGCGAGATCGGAGTCGGAGGCGCTGGGCGCCACCGCCATCGCCATTCTCTTTTCTAGGGTTCTTCACTGCCAAGTAAGAAAAAAGAAAGAAAGAAAATGTGAAGAGCCCTAACTGATGGGCGATCCTCCCCTATCCAGGCCAGGGCCACATCAATCCACTGCTCCAGCTCTTCCTGGCGCTGGCGTCCACGATGGGATTCCGCGTCACATTCGTCAGCACCAGGAAGAATCACGGCGCCATTGTGCTGTCGCCAGAGGATCGCGGCATCGGCATCCACCTCGCCACGATTCCAGATGAGATGTTGCCGGAGCGAAGCAAGCAGGACATCCCGAAATTCATCGCTGCTACCAGGAGGATGGAGGAGCCGTTCGTGGAGCTGCTGGAGGGGATCGTTGGCCGATCGTCGTCTTGCCTGGTCGCCGGTGAGCTTCATTGTGTCGGATTCTATCCTCGGATGGGTGGAGGAAGTGGCTAGGAGATTCGCATTCTATCCACTGCCAGTCGCGACGTTTCTATCGGAGCAAGGTATTCCTTTGCTCTTGGCTGCTGGAAAGATCCCCATCGATCGAGGTAAGCTCACGGCCACAGCAAAGAAAAAATTCCATTCCACCAGTTCTTCGCAAGCTTTCATCCATTGGAAGTTCTTCGTCTCACTCGAACGTTTTCTTGGCAGACACTGTGAAGAGTGACGATGTTGTCGAGATTCCGGGGCTTCCTCCTTTGCATCCCACCGACTTCCCGACTTCGTCAAGAGCTCTTTCGATGACACTGGCTATGACCCCGCCATTCTTCGCAACCAGGGGCTCAAAAACGCTGCCTGGATCATCGTCAGCTCCTGCGAGGCTGGAAGGCAGCGAGATCGCAGCAGCTCGAGAGCAAGGATTCCCTCAGCTGGTTCCAGTAGGTCCTCTACTCCCTGCCGAGTTTTTGGAGGCTGACTATCAATCCATCCGACATGGGAATCACAGGAGCTCTCTGGGGAGAAGAGGACGTCTGCATGGAGTGGCTAGACAGGGAACCCCCACGCTCGATCCTCTACGTTTCATTTGGGACCATCTCGAGCATCTCGGTGGCGGAACTGGAAAGTCTCCTCGACGGCTTGGAGAGATCCAAGGAGGCGTTCCTGTAGGAAGAATCTCATTGCCAACATGGCCGAGGAGGTGTGGAATCGCTGCGTCGAGAGAGCCAACAGGCACGGCCTCGTCGTTCGCTGGGCTCCTCAGCTGAAAGCTCTCCGACACCCGTCGGTCTCAGCGTTCTTGACGCACTGCGGATGGAACTCGACGCTCGAGAGCATCTGTGCGGGCGTCCCAATGATCTGCTGGCCGTGCTTCTTCGAGCAGAGGTTGAACTGCAAGGACGTTGCGGACGCCTGGAAAGTTGGGATTCGACTCGACGATCGTGGGAGAGATGGAACCAGGGGTGACAAGTTTCCTGCAAGGGTGGAAGAGGTTGTTCGTGGGATGATCAAGGATGAGCTGGGATTGCGGACAAAGGAGAAAATTTGGGAGCTTAGAGATGGTTGCAAGGAAAGCCTGACGTTTCCACCAGTGTGACAGTCCAAAGCTCAACTCTTTTATGTTTCTTTGCGATTTCGGATCCATCTCGGGCCCAAGGTATGGATTTGACTTTTCCTTTTCGCGATCTTTGGATGAAAAACTTTCGTTGCAGGACGGGTTCGCAGCCACCGGGGATATTAAGAAGTTCGCGCTCACACAGCGTGGAGGCTCTTTACGCTGCCACTTGGCAGTGAAATCGCGACCGTCCACGTCCTGCTTATTTGTTCTTGCGCGAGCCCTCAGTGGATCACTTTTGCACTATGGAGTCATCGGATGCAGCACCGCGCTTCGAGATTTGTATCGCGGTTGCGAGCAGCAAGCACAGCCCCGGGTCTGACGACGATGCTGTGGCGAGCTATATCAAGGCGTTGAAGAATACTGGCCTCGTCGTTGAGATCGAAGAGGGCTTGGATTCGATCAGATTCATCAAGGTAAGTTTGCTTATACGCTTTTGCTTTCGTTTACTTGTGGCTTTTCAGATCGCGGCACCTATCGAGGTTGTCGGTCGCACAGCGGAGAAGCTCAACATCAAGAAATCGACTTACCTTGGTTTGTTTGCCGATCGAACAAAGGCTAAAACTTTTCTCACTTTCATTCTTCCTACAGGATTAGAAGTACCATTTGTTTGGGAGAAGCGAGATGCATTTGTGCGACAAGCAATCAGCAACTCGTTGTTTACCTGGACAGAAAAATACAGTTGCATGGAGTACCTGTTGTATAGTGTGGTATGGCATCGTTTAATGCTTTCTGTTGCGGTTTGACTGGCACTTCTCTCCAGGCTAATGAGAAAGACCATCCTGTGAAGTTCACGGTGGGTGAATCATCGGAGCTAGAGCTAAAACCGGGAGAGAACATCCTTGCAGTGCTCAAGGCTTCTGAAGTTGTTAAGGATGTCTTCGTGCTTCACGGTCTGTTTCTAGCATGCAGTTGTTGCCTTTTTTATTATTTTCTTTCATTTTCTTTTCCTCAGATGAAACTACGCGTAATGAATTGTTGAAAGGTTGGGCAATGAACTTCAAAGGGCTTACGTCGCAACCTGTAGATGCCATCCACGCGTATTTCGGTGCCAAGGTGATTGGCAATTTTTGAAAACAAGTGTGTCTTATGATGTTTAGAATTTCAGGTGGCTATATATTTTGCGTTTCTTGGAATGTATACGCAGTGGCTTGTCATTCCGTCTATAGTGGCGGCTTTCTTTTATTACAAGGAATCAAGGTAATCTCGTTTCCTTTCGCATTGCTGTGTTTCACTTAATTTTTGCTGCAGACCATGGGGAACTGCTCTCCCTGTAGTCCTTTCTGTAATGACTGTGGTTTGGTCAGTGCTCTTCTTGCAGTTTTGGAAAAGAAAAAACGCAGCACTGCTTACAAGGTTTGTTTGGGAATTAAACTTGTCTTGGCTTGATAACTCCTGAGCAGGTGGGGAGTTTCTTTAGATCGCAGCGAAGGGCCTGAGGAGGCGGAGAACATAGATTTTGCGGCGGTGACAAACGAGGGCGGGATACAGGCAGGAAGAATCCATGAGATGGATATCAACAAGCTGCAGAAGCAGGCATTTCAGAAGAAGGAATGGCTGGAACAGCTGAAAAGTGCGAGAAATAATGCGATTGTTATTGTGGGAATCATATTCGTTCAACTTCCTTTCGAGCTTGCATACGCACACATGAACAAGATGGCATCATATGAAGTACTAAGGTGATTCTGCTGGTCTCACTGTCTCTCAAGTTTTCTTGACTTCCATCTTGCAGGTATTTTTTAACGGTGATATATCTCTTAGGAATTCAAGTGTTTACCAATCTTGGAGGGAAGATTGCAGTGAAGCTTACCAAGACCGAGCACTATGGTAGCAAAGAGGCTGAATCAGATGGACTCATCTATAAGGTAGGGTGCCATTGTTAAGTTTTTCTTCTTAAAAGCTGTTCTCGTGTACAGGTGTTTGGGATTTATTTCATGCAGTCTTACATCGGCTTGTTTTACCACGCATTGTTTCATCGAGACTTCATTGTGCTACGGCACTTCCTTGTTCAACGACTGATAATCGCCCAGGTATGGCTGCATGATTTAACAGAAAACGTCGTGAAAGCAACATTTTTTGTGTACAGATAATGAGCAACATTTCTGAAAATGTGGTACCATGGTTCTCGTATTTGTATGCGAAACATAAAGCTACGAAGTAAGTTTGTTTGTATCTTAGCATTGCGTTTTAACATTCAAGCAGGCATGACGAGGAACATAAAAAATCGGATGACAAGAAAATACGCTCGCCAGTCGAAGAGGAGTATTTGAAACCAGAATATAGTTCCAGTGTTGGAGACGATCTGGAAGATGGACTATTTGACGGTACTATTGAAATCTTACTGCCTTGGTTATATACTCACGACCTTAATTCTTTCCAGATTTCCTAGAACTCGCGCTACAGTTCGGCATGGTTACCATGTTTGCTTGCTCGTTTCCCTTGGTCTTCGTTTTTGCTCTCATCGTAAGTCATCTCACTCAAAACACACTCTTTTCATCATAGTTAAGCAAACCTCTTTGCTATCAGAACAATTTGGTGGAGATACGCTCGGATGCAATCAAACTCTTGCTGATGTTTCGAAGGCCCAGACCACGAGAGGCGGCATCCATTGGAGCGTGGCTCCAAATCTTTCAGGTTTGTGTGACCCGAGAAATCACATCTCACTGCTCTATCATATCATATTTGTTGTTGCAGTACATGGGTGTGGTGGCTATCTGTACAAACTGTGCACTGCTGGTGTGCCTATATGACGAAGCTGGCCAGTGGAACGTAGAACCGGGGATGGCCGCTATACTCGTGATGGAACACCTCTTGTTACTCGCAAAATTTGGTTTCAAGTGCTTTGTTCCTGAGGTGCGTACTTCACTGGTCATGGAGCTCTCTCGCTCACATTGTTTTTAATCTTTCAGGAGCCCGCGTGGGTCAAGGCAAAGCGCGCGAGACGATCCCGTCTCCAGGAGAAGTACACATTGCAAATCCTGAAAGATGGAAAACATAGAGACTTGTAAAGGACGAGCTTTCGTAGGTTTGAAGTGTGAGCAGCTTACTCTTATACAATTTGTCACAGTTTTGGAGCTCCTGCGAAATGTTGCTACTTCTCTTTTGATCAATTCAATTTGCTCGATTACTGTTCGAAAAGAAACAAACATGAAAAAGCAAGATCGTTTGCATGGCTTACCCCCACTTTCGAATGTCCAGCAGCAGGAGGACGATATCACGCATTGAAGGACGGTGAGAGACTTCCGGTGCCAAGCACCTCATCCCCAGCTCAAGGTACCAGTTGAGTTTCGCCCTGTGCTCTGGAACCAGCAGCTCCGGATCCACATGCGTTTCTATGAAGTGTTGGACGCCGCGCTTCGTAAAGCTGTTCTTGAGGAGCTGCTTCGCGGCCTGGATTGTCACTAGCCTCAGCATTACCACCCCAAAGCTGTACACATCGCTCTCCGTGGATAGAACTCCGGCTGGATCAGCGTAGTCCTGTCCAAAACGATGAGAAGCTTACAGCTTTGATTTAAAAGCCACGTACCTCGTACTGCGGCGCTTCTAACGACAATGGATACTTGATCTTTCCCTCTGAGTTGTCTCCACTCAAGAACACGGTGATTGGGTGGACGTTGCCATGAACTATCTCGAGTTCATGCAAGTGATAAAGTCCTCTTGCAGCTCCTATAGCAGTATCAATTCTTCGCGTCCAGTCTAGTGAAACACTGTTGTATCTGTGCCCTGGACACAAATCGCGTTACTCCTAGAGAAGTTGAAAACTCTTACCAAAATGGAGGTGCTCAATGAGGCTTCCCTGCGTGATGTACTCGCTCACGGTCGAGAATCGTCCTCCCTCGTTGCAATAGCCGATGAGCTTCAAGATGTTTGGATGGTTGACTCGACAAAAGAAGTTGAGCTCGGCCTCCACAATGCCCGATGGCAAGACTTCCACAGCCACCTCCTCTCCAGTGACCAGTCTTCCCCGGTAAGCTGATCCCTCGCTCCATTTGCTCTCGTTTCTCGTCAAGGCCTCTGCGATTTCCGGCTGTGAGAACGTCCTGACTCGAGAGCTCGTTCCAAGTTGGCTGTCAAAGGCTTCGTACCAGCAGCTTCTTCCGCTTAGCACAAGCGATCGTAGACGCTTCAAACGGTCACAGATCTCTCCAAAAGTTGGCCGCTCCTCGGCATTACGGTTCCAGCACCTCCGGATAAGTGTCGTTAGCTCCTCCGGGCAGTCCACAGGTAGCTGCGGACGCTTGTTTTCAGCACAGACCAGTATCGCAAAGTCAATCCTTTCGATGATGTCTTCGAACGGCAGCCTTCCGGTCACCAGGTAACAGCAGATGATTGCAAAGCTGTAAACATCTGCCTTCTTCGAGTACTTTGCCTTCTCGTCCGTGTTCTCAGAGCGGAAGACTTCTGGTGCTCGGTAAATCTTTGTGCCAACTCCAACCGTGGCACTCGCAGCTTGAGACGTAGAGAAGTTCGTTTTGGCCGTGCCAAAGTCCGAGATCTTTGTGAGGATCCCAACTTCCAAGTACTTGACAAGGATGTTACGCGGCTTGAGATCCCTGTGTATGACATTCTTCGAGTGTAAGAATGCCATCCCTTCCGCTATCTGCAACATAATCGACACTGCCGTGACGAGTGGAACTCCTGCAGCCCCCTTATGCTCGCCTATAAATTTCTCCAGATCCATACTCATCCTCTCCATGACGATTGAGTACTGCTTGCCTTCGACATCACGCGTGAAGCCGATGATGCTGACAACGTTGGGATGCTGCTGCAACGTTACCAAGGCAGTAAACTCCTTCTCGAAGCTGTAATCTCCCGGCCTGAATATCTTCACGGCAACAATTTGATCGAGCCAACCCGCTTCGTAAACCAGCCCGAAAGTGCCAGAGCCGATGAGTTTTCCCAACACCAGTTGCCTGTGGTTGATCTCGAGCTTCCCTCGGTCACCTTCCCAAAGCATGATCCTTTTGAGCTCCTCATACCCCCTTCGCCGTTTGCTCAGCTTTTCTAGAACGACGCCCTTGTCCAGAGCTGCAGCATTCTCTAGTTCACTGCGTAGACCATCCATATCAGCAACCGAAACCATAGTCATCACTCTGACATGGTATTTACTGACGTGAGGAAGATCTTCGTCTCCCAGCAGCAAAACACTCACCAGGTGTGTGAGATCCCGGAGCTGCTGGAGCACGAATTTGAATTCTTCCTCGATAAACAGCGTCCTGACCTTCCATCCTTTCCTGCTTCCCGAGGAGCTCGGGATGATCTGCAAACCCGTGTGCATGACACGCAGGAGCTCCTTGATCGCCTCGTTGCAGCTGCCTGTGCTCAAGTAGCCAGATCGCTCCCATCCTACCAGGCGGCTTGCAACCGTATGGAACGCGGAGGAAAGAAGCTTGCGCTCGGCCTCCCAGACCCCAGCGCTGGAGCTGCTAGTATCCCGAGCTCGGTCGCTGATATGAACGACACCTTCTGCAAGGCCACAAACTTGCCCGCGAGAATCTTCTGAAAGGCACCGCAACAAACACGCCATGAGAGGTGAAAGATTTCCCATCGCTACTTGCTTGTAAAGACTATAGAGCAATCGCACCTTGAGAGTCTCGGTACAAGCTTTGTCGTATTCCTTGTGGTTTTGATCCCTGCATTGCTTGCCACGCGCGCCCAGCTTTGGCATGGCTTGGATGGATGGATATATTCATGGGCGATAGCGTCCATGATCGATCCCTCCTGCAAAGAAACAGCGAAATTTTACTGTAATCCTCGCAGTCCAAAGAACACGAAGAAATTCTACGCACAAAACAAGAAATCGACGAACTATACCGAAATTTCACGCAGAATTCGTCCCGATGTCTTCATCCGGTAGAAATTCTACGCGCAAAGCAAACCAATCCAAGAAATCGCTTTCTGGAGGAACAATACCGAGATTTCACGCAGAACTCGTCCCGATCTCGCTGGCGCTCCATCCGGTAGATGAAATGCGAGGGCGAGCGCGAGATTAAAATGCACTCCATGGCGCGATCGCTCCATCGCGCTATCGACGCTATGCTCTAAAACCCTAGCAAGAACAAATCCCTTTTGGGGGTTTTATTGGGAAGCTTTGAATGAATGGAGGATCAGCCACCGAGCAGGGAGAATGCCGCGTGTTCGCTGCCTGATCCTTCACTTGCACTCGTTGCTCTCTCCCATCCGAGAGCAAATTCGTGCACAAATCTCTCATTCCATCCTCTAGGGCAAAGCTTTTCTTGCCCTCTCCTTCGATCGATCGATCAATCCTCCTCGCCCTAGGCGACGCGGCAGAGGTGAGCTCCCCAGCTCCCATCCGCATTGCAATCACCGCTAGCGCCAGGCGAGGCTCCGCCCCATCCAGGCGACCTTTGCATGATCTTGCACGACGACAATGCCGCTGGCGATGCCACCAGGAAGGAAGAAGAATTGGAAGAACAGCACGGCGGCGATCGTCCAAACAGAGAGGGTGAGCTGGTGATGGGAATCGAATTCTTGCTCGTAGTCTCACTGGATCTCATTAGGCAGAGCTCCTGGATCCCATTCATGGCGTAGAGCGACGCGGACGAGATCCTCTCGAAATTCAGCCTTCGGATTTGCTCACGCAGGATCATGTTCTCCTCGCTCTCGCTAGGGGGGAGCTGGAGATCGCTGGGAGCCTCTGGTAAGCCCGTGATCGCCGAGAGCTCTTCGAACTGATCGCTGCCAGGCATGGACATGTCCACCGAGAGATCAAAGAGCGACGTGTAAATGGAGTCGCCCTCTCCGCCACTCTGGACGACCAGCTCTTCCAGCCCCGAGAGAGTGTCGCTAAGATCATCCGAGCTGGCTGGAGAGTTCCGGCAATCGAGCTCCTGGGCTCCTGGAGGAGGAGCTCCTGGAAGAACTTCCATAGCCGCTACTCCAAAGCCGTCAAAGGTGGTAGCCATACTTCCCTGGTGATCGCTCATCCCTGGCGTGGTTTTGGCAGTGAAGAGATCGCGCTGCTGCTCTTGGTGGTGGAAGAACTTCGGGAAGCCATCGTTGGCGAGCAAGGTGGTGAAGGATTGGACGTGGAGTGGCTGTGCCTGGACGTTGCCGAGCTCTTCCTCGTCGCCAAAGTAGTGGAGCTGGTTAAAGCTGTAAGTCATGGCTTGAGCTTCGTCTTCCCCTTTCTTTGGAGCTACAGTGCATGGATTTGATGAGCTCTTCCCTCTGGCCGATTTCAGGCGCTGGTGGAGCGTCCGCGCGGCCTTGGACGGAAGAACTGAGCCGCTCGAGGGCGATGCCGCCGGTAAGAAGTTCGTGCGCGTGTTGACGCCCCGGAGCATGCAAGCCGCCTCGTCGTAAGCTCTGGCGGCGTCCTCCGCCGTGTCGAAAGTCCCCAGCCATAGCCGGATCTTCTGCGTCGTGTCTTTGATCTCCGCCACCCAGCGCCCCGACGATCTTTGCCTCACTCCCACGAACTTCTTCTTCCTTCTCCCGCTCGGCCTGCTGCTGCTACCAAGCTTCTCGCTGCTGCTCAGCACTGCCTCTCTTTCCAGTGACTCCGCTTGTGGCTTGAGCCTCCGCTGCTGGTACTTTCGCCTCCCGGTCTCGAGTCTATAGAAGGGGAAGCTCGCGTCTTGATCTTCTCCATCTCCAGCGAAAGATAGCACGCTTTGTTCCGACATCTCAGACTGGAAACTGCGTAAGTTGCTGGAGAATTCTAGCTGGATTCTTAGCTGCTAAGTTCGCATCCTCTTTTTCTTCTCTCCTCTACAAGTAAGAACTTAAGCTCTGTTTGCTTTGTGCAGGATCTGCCCCCATTCCTATGATATATATATATATATCCCAGTCTTCTCCGATCCTGGCCGTCCGAACTCTCGCCACAGGTATAGTAGATTGCAAATAGAAAATCTTCGAAGCCATTCTATACTGTTTCGATTTTTCTTTGCTTTCGCCTTCGTGTTTTTCTTTAATGCAGGTTGCTTGTGCTGCTCTCACAGAGATGTCATCGACGTATGTCTTCTTGTTACGAAGGAGATTCTTCACACCATTTGGAGCGCAATGCTGTACAGGTCACAGGTATTTCTTTTCGATCCATTTGGTGGTTTATTGCTTGGAAGGGAATTTAGCGAGGCATTTGATCTGCTCTTGTCTCACTTAGGCTGTTCGTGGCTGTAAGTTCGGGGGGATTTCGGCACTGTTCCTGGGAGTTTTTTCACTGTTCTTCTCGGCGGAAGCGTTCAACGCTTATACTTTGCAAGTGAGTTGTTGTCGTGTTTTTCTTTGAGAAAGAATGGTTCCGATCAACTCATTCTCGTTGCGACCAGGTCAATCAACACGCTAAGTAGCACCACTCGATCCAGCGTTTGGATTAAGCTCAAGCAATCTAGTAACTCAAGCCCAGTCAAAGCACGCTGCCGATAGCTCCAAAGTTTGCAAATGGATGGAGCAAACTCGACCGGGGCGATTTGGCGTGACTTTGCACACAAATCTACGGGAAGGGGACGAGCTCTTTGGCATCACTCGCGAGATCTAGAGGCCGACGACGCAAGATTGTCCCCATCAGTTTTTTTGGGATTGTTGGTGGAGAACGACGTCGAGCCTGTTGTGACCGTCGTGATCCAAGCGAGCGTCCAAGCCCGTGATCTAAGCAAGGTTCCAAACTCTTATAATGTGGATCCAAAACTTTGGAGTCCTGCCTTGTTGGTCTCTAAATCCAAAACAAGGATCAAAGGCTGGACTGGTCAAGGATGGATGTTCTTGCCGTTTTCTCCTTGTTGCTTCTCCATGGGAGATTTTCTTACTGCCTGTTTGACCGGACAAAAGGGACCTTTTTTGCTTGGAATGCCTCCACGTGGAAACGCTACCGCGATTCCTGCACAGTGCTATAGATCCCCCTATCCACGTGGAGACTACACAGGGCGTCAACACGCCCGCAAGTTGCTGGTCCTGTCCCTTGACCCCGCGACATTTGGCAATGATAGCATGGATTTAGTTACAAAAAATCTACAAAAAGGCAAAAAACATTATGTCAATCGAGAGACAAATGTCTCGCCGTCCGTGGGAATCGAACCCACGACCACGTGGTTAAAAGCCACGCGCTCTACCGGCTGAGCTAGGACGGCAACCACAATGATTTTACCAAAACTTCTTTACAAGACAAATCAAAAGAAAGGTGGTGCAAAAGATGGATGAGACGGGCTGCTGGAGAAGTGCGTGGACTCACTGGTGTACTTCTAGAAATTATGTAAGAAGTAGAAAACTTTGTTTGAAATCAAAGATTTAAGATCATTAAAATTGAAATATCAAAGCATCAGGAATTCTTTGGACTTTAGGAAAGAAGTGAATCACCGTGCTTGAGCTTGTGCGGCTATCCTGCGTCGCAAGAAAAAGAGATTTGCAACAAGAGAGTGTAGGCCGAGGCCAGCGACGGAGCTCCCGGTGGAAACAGAAGAACGAGGTGGCGGAAAGACTCTTGGCCTCGACACAGATCGAGCTGATCCTTGGCGCACCCCAGCAGCGTCTGCCACGCCAGAGCATTCGGCTCAAAAGGCATGCACTCGAGCAGCTCGTGTGCCTGTGAAAGCTCCCCCGCCCGAGCCAGTGCATCGATCAAGCACACATAGTGCTCCAGGCTCGCTGCAACTCCGGCAAAATCCCTCGCTGCCACTGCAGCGAAGAGCGCCATGGCATGGACGAGATGCCCAGCTTGGCTGCAAGCGGCCAGGAGAGACACGAAAGTGATGGCGTCCGCCTGGATCCCTTGCAGCTGCATCGTGCCAAAGAGATCCAAAGTCTGCTCCAGCGCCGCTGGAGTGAAACAGGCCGAGCCATTGGCAGCGATGAGCGTGCTCCAAGTCACTACGTCCCGGGCCTGCGCTTGCATGGCGTCGAACACCTCCCTCGCGGCCTGGAGCATCCCACGCTTGGCGTACATGTTGAGCACCGCGTTCGCCACCTTCGTCACCTGGGCCAGGAGCCGGCCATCGTCCACCTCGGCTATGATCTCGTGCACTCCACGCATCGCGCTGAGGCTGCTCTCGCTGCTCCCGCTCACTGCCTCGACCAGGCTCACGTAGCTGACATCGTCGAGCTTCACGCCTTCCAGATCCATGGCGCAGAATGTGGCCAGTGATGCCCGGCTATGCCCGGCTTGGGCATACGCCGAAACGATGGTGTTCCACGACACGGTGTCCCGCTCGTCCATGGCATCGAAGGTGGCCTTCGCCTGCTCGATGTGCCCGAGCTGGGCATACGCCCCCGCCACGATGTTCCACAGCACCACGTCTCGAGCAGGTACTCTGTGCATGGCCGCGTTCAGGGCGTCGTCGCTGCACACCGCCAACAGGCTCGTCCACGACACCAGATCCCGCTCGGGCATCTCGTCGAAGAGCAGCTTCGTCCCCGGAGAGTCTCCGGCACGGCTGTAGCCGGCGAGCATGGCGTTCCAAGCTGTGACATCCCAGCAGGCCATCCTGGTGAAAACTTCCCTGGCCAGGTCTAGATTCTTGGGACTGTGTTGCTGCTCCGCTAGCGCCATCACCATCGTCGTCCAGGAGAACAAGTCCCGGTGATAGCACAGCTCCTGGCTTGCAAACATGCTCGCGGCCCCTGGAAGATCTCCGCCCCTAGCAGCTGCATGGAGGGCGACGTTGCGAGCCACCAGGCTATGGGACGGGATCTTGCCCAGGAGCTGCTCCAACACGACCAAGCTCCCAGCCGCGGCAGTAGCTCTGGCGACGAGCACCCACGACAATGCATCCCTCTCGCGCATCCTGTCAAACACGAGCTTGGCATCATCCGGCATCCCATGGCTGCCGTAGGCCGCGATGAGTGCATTGCAGGTGACAAGGTTGTGGAGCGGCATTGCATCAAACACGGCCTTGGCTTGCTCCGTGCAGTGATTCTCGACGTAAGCTTGCATGAGCGAGTTCCACGAGACCACGTCCCAGGCCGGCATTCGCTCGAACACGGCAGTGCAGCGCTCGAGGTGGCCGGAGAGCGCACAGGCCGAGATGAAAACGTTCCAGCTCACGCTGCTGCGCTCGGGCATGGCCTCAAACACGGCCCGCGACTCGTCCAGCTTCCCGGCCCGCGCCAGCGCCGCCACCAGCGTAGTGCACGCGACGGCATTCCACCCCGGCATTTGCCCACAAACGAGCGCCGCCTCGTCGGCTTTCTCGGCACGGGCAAATGCTGCAGCGAGGCTCGCCCACGATATCACGTTCCTCTCAGGCATCTCGTCGAAAACACTCTTCGCCTGCATCGCTGCGCAGTCCTCGCCGAGCGCCCATAGCATGTCGTTCCAGGACACAATGCTGCGGAGGGACATCTTTTGAAAAGCATCTTTCGATCCTTCCATATGCCCAGACTGGGCAAATGCATGAAGCAGGATGTTCCACGAGAAGACATTGCGCTCCTGAAGACTCGTAAACACCAACGTCGCCTCCTCTAGCCTCTCAAAGCTGCCATACATCCTAACGAGAAGATTCCCAAGGAAGGTGTCTCCGCCATAGCCACGCTTGATTATCTCGGAGTGCAACCTCTTCCCCTCGTCAAGATCCCGGCATCCTCTCAACCGCTGCCCGTAGTCATCCGTCACGTATGAGAGCTTGATTCCACGAGAGAAAATGCGGAAGATCCAGGAAGGTCTTTGCCTCGTATCAATCCATGACCACATACACAACGATGATCCAAAACGAAACACTCACCAAAATTCTTCATCATCGCATTGCAGCGACAACTCCGGTATGCTTGTCAAGCTCTCAACCTCGCGTAGCATGTTACCGGCAAATGGCGACCATCTTCCAGGATGCAAACCGCTAGTTCTAATTTCGCTGATCAAGGCTTGCAGCCATCAAGCTCTGCGAGAGAACTGGACCCAGGTTGATGGTCAGCTCGTCAAGATCACGTCCCTGGAACAGGCTATGGCACTACACTCGCAGGCCTCGCTCCAAAATCTCGACTGGAACGTTTACGTGGCCAGCAGCCTGGTGGATGTTTACGCAAAGTGTGGCACCATGCACGACTCGCAGTGGGTCTTCGATTCCATCCCGCAGCGCAACGTTGTATCGTGGACCTCGCTCATCGCGGGATATGCCCGGAACGGGCATGGCACCACCGCGCTGGAGAGGTTCCAGGAGATGCATTCCAGGGCCCGGGCAGCTCCAAACGCTCAAACTTTCGTCGCTGCTCTTCAAGCCTGCGCTGCCATCCTCGAAGAAGGGTGCGGCAAAGATCGCGTTCTTGAGACATGCATGGCTCTCCACTTTCGCGCTGCAAAGCTGGGCCTCGATTCGGATGTTTTCCTTGCGAACAGCCTCGTGGATGTGTACTCCAGGTCCGGAAGTCTCGAGGACGCTCGCAGAGTGTTTGAGGGAATGCCGAACCGGGATGTGGTAAGCTGGAACTCCATGATGGCTGCATTCGCTCTCCACGGGCATCCACAGCAAGCTCTCGATTTGTTTGTCGGCATGAAGTTCCAAGGCTGTGCTCCCAGCGCTCAAACTTTCGCCGTCTTGCTAAAGGCCGCTGCCAAGCTCGGAGCGTTGCAGACCGGGAAGATACTCCACGCGGAGATTTCTCGGTACTGCTGCTTGGATCCTGAGCTCCAGACGAACTGCTTGGTGGATTTCTACGGCAAATGCGGGAGCATGGTCAATGCCCAACGAGTTTTCGATTCCACGAGCTCCAGTGACTGCTCCATCGTGACTTGGAACTCTTTGCTGGTCGGATATAGTCGCCAGGGAGACACCACCCGCGTCTTTGCTCTTTTCGAGGCTCTCGATCGAGTAGCTTTGAGGCCGAATGGAGTAACTTTCTCGGCTCTTCTCGCGGCTAGCAGCCACGCCGGTCTCGTCGACAAGGGACTCGAGCACTTCCACTCGATGCTCTCCAGCTATGGAGTCTCTCCCGACGCTCAGCACTGCCGTTGCATGGTGGACGTGCTGGGACGAGCAAACCGGCTGGAAGAAGCCGTGCAGATGGCGAACATGGTGCCCTGGAGCTCGGTCGCTTGGGTCACTCTCCTTGGTGCTTGCCACAAGTGGAAGAACGTAGAAGTCGGGCGGCTGGCTTTCGATACTTTGCTGAGAAGTCGAGAGCCTGTTGCGATCTCGTGCTACGTGATGATGGCCAGTATCTATGGAGCCGCGGGAATGTGGGAGAAGAAGCTGGAGATCGATGCAATGAGGAGTAAGGCCGAGGACGATGGTCGAACGAGAGATCATCGCGAAGGAGAGTTTGAGCTTCGTCCGGCGTAGCTGTTTGCCAGTAGCACAAAGGCCGCGCCATCTTTTTCCTGGATCCTCTCGAAGGCTGCTCTTCCAGCTTCTACGTTTTCCCACTTTCGACTTGATGCCAGGATGCTCGTCCAGATGGTGGAGTCCGGCTCCATAGGCATGCTTTTCACTACAGCCAGTGCCTCCTCAAGATGGTTCGCGCGACCTAGGAGATCGACCATGCACGAGTAGTGCTGGATCGTTGCATACTCTCTGTAGTCCTCGAGCAGTGCGTGAAAGTATTTCCTGGCTTGGTCGACGAGTCCAGTGTGGTTGCAAGCGCTGAGCACCGAGAGAAAAGTCACACCATCGGGGCGTATCTTCTCGTGCTGCATGCGCTCGAAGAGATCGAAGACCTGGCAAGCGTCACCCTGTTGGCTATAGCCGGAGATGATCGCGCTCCAAGTCACTAAATCTCTCCTCTTGATGGGAATGGCGTCGAAAACTGCTCGGGCTTCTTCCATGCACCCACATTTGCCGTAGAAAGTGATGAGAGAGTTTGCAATGACAAGCTCACTTTGGTGATCCATATAACCACTTCTGCTTCGAATCTGTTCGTGAACTCGTCTTCCTCTCTCGAAGTCTGCGAGATTTCCACACGCCTTGATAACAGCCACGAAAGTCCGAGACTCCGGATGCAACTGCTGCTGAATCATACTCTCGAACAGCTCCAAAGCAGTGCTGTTCTCCCCAAGCTCGGCATAGCCCAGGATCATCGATGTCCACATCGCTAGCGAAGAACTTCCCAGCATCACACTCCTGTCAAAGACCGACCGAGCCTCCCCAATGCTCCCGCAGTTGGCATACATGTCCACCAGAGAATTCGCCACGAAAACATCTGGCTCGTGTCCCTTGTTCCTGAGCTCCAAGTGTATCAGCCGGCCTCTCTCGAGTGACTTGAGCTTGAGAACTCGAGCATCCCCACCGAGCTCTCTTCCTTCTTGGGCTGCGAGGCTAGAGCAAGCGTTGAGTGCTGCAACATAAGTTCGAGCCTGCGGTGTCAAACCTTCCTCTTGCATAGCCGTGAAGAGCTCCAGAGCCGCATCACTCTCGCCATTCTGTACGCATCCAAGAATCATGGTCGTCCAAGAAACTACGTTTCGTTGCTGCATCTCCTCGAACACCTCTCCAGCCTCAGCTAAGCTTCCACACTTGGCGTACATGTCCACGAGCGAATTTTCCACGTATATATCAATCGCTACCTTACGTCCCAGATTTTTAAGCCGTAGATGGATAGCTCGGCCCTTTCCAAGCGACACCACCTTGACTAGCTTCCCATTTACTTTCTCTGCTTCTTCCGCTGAAGCCAAGCTTGAGCAAGCACCTATCGCGGCGACGAAGGTCCGAGCATCTGGATCGACACCCTGGTCGAGCATTCTCGAAAACATCTCTAGCGCTTGCTCGCCGTCACCGCTCTGTGCGTAGCCATGTATGATAGAGTTCCACAGCACCACGTCGTGGTGACTTGTCTGCTCAAACACTGCTCGAGCCTCGAGCATGCTCCCACACTTTGCAAGCATGTCCACGAGACTGTTTCTTACGAAGGCATTGAGCTTCTGGCTGTTGTCACTCGTTTGGAGAAGCGACTGTATGCTCCTGCCTTTCCTGAGAGCCTCGACCTTTACAAGCTTCCCGTCCACTTGTTTGCCATCTTCTCTCGATGCCAGACCAGTGCACGCTATCAACGCAGCAACGAAAGTCCGCGAGTCTAATCTGTAGCCTTGCTCCTGCATTGCGGCAAACAGCTCCAAAGCAATGTCACTCTCCCCGTTTTGTGCATATCCCATGATCATGGCAGTCCACAGCACCACTGTGGGACTCTGGATGCTGTCAAATACCCGATGTGCAACATCCATCAAACCAAACTTTGCGTGCATGTCCACCAGAGTGCTCGCAACGAAGACGTCTTCTTCGTATCCTGTCTTGGCAACCTGAGAGTGAATAGAAACACCTCTTGCCACTACCTGCTTTCGATCTTCCTTGGCTGCCAAACTGGCACACGCGCTGAGAGTAGCAACGAAAGTTCTACCATTCGGGACGAAACCATCTTGCTGCATCAGCTGGTATAGCTCCAGAGCGGACTCGGACGCTCCACCATGAGCATAGCCAGTGATGATCGCGTTCCAAGAAACAACATCTCGACGATGTATGCTGTCAAAAACTTGGCGAGCTTCACCCATGCACCCGCACTTTGAGTACATGTCCACCAAGGCCGTCGAGATGAAGACACCAAAGTTGCTTCCCAGTCTCCTGTGAATTTCCTTCCCTTTCTCTAAATCTCTTGAGCCGCTGCAAGCCTTCAGTGCAGCAACCACCTGTCGATCATCCCCTCTAGCTCCAAACGTATCACATTTCCTCTGCTTGAATACCGCCTCATTAGAAACAAAGGCCGCAGAAGTCGATAGATTCTTAAGCCTCTTCACTTCAAACGATCTTCTTCGTGCAAGCATCCAGAGGAATGGCCAGCTAGTCCAGAAGATAAATACGGGATCCTATATCTGAGACTAACCAGTCGAACGCTTCCAGTAATCCGTCCCCAGTAACAGCACTGCATCCAACAGTGCGACAATGCCTGCTTTTGTCCATTAAATCAAGCCGCAGGACCTGCATTCATTTCTTCCCACCTAAGGACTGAAAAATAAAAAAGCAGGAAGATGAAAAGGCAGACCTTTGAGATTTCATCGAGATCCAGAGAGCCGTCTATGTCCTGCTTGTTTGCCAGTATCAGCAGTGATGCTCCGGCAAGACGCTGAAACAAGAAAAAAAAAAAAAGATAATGATTTCCAGCAAGGTCTTTTTCATTTTCTCGCGCTTGACGTACCTCCTCTTTGAGAAGGTTGTGTAGCTCCTTCTTGCAGTCGTCGAGGCGACGCAAATCAGCACTGTCGACCACCCACACCAGACCATCCGTTTGCTCGTAGTAATTCCTCCAGTACGATCTCAGAGTTTTTTGGCCACCAACATCCCAAATGTTTAGCCTATACCTGAAGAAAGCGATGAGTTACGATCACGAAAGAGGTCGCGAATCACTTACTTGCCGTATCGCATCGTTTTTATGTTGAACCCAAGCGTGGGACTGATGTCGCTAATGTCCTCCCCATTCATTCTCTTGACGATCGTCGTCTTTCCCGCATTGTCCAACCCTCTGCGGCGGAAATCAAATGCGCAAGGACATAGCACCGCAAGAAAGATCGAGAGAGAGAGAGAGAGAGAGAGCTTACACCATGAGAATGCGCATTTCCTTCTCCTTGCGCTTCACCTTGCGGATGATCGTGAGCAGCCCCATTCCAGTTGCCCTAAATCTATGCTATTTCTACGGTGGTTTTAATTTTAATCTTTTAATTAAACTGTGAGTTTTGTTTTGCATTAAGAAAGTAATAAGCTTATTACATGAAGTGGTATAAATTTAATTAATATTTATCTCGCATATTTTGCAAATGTTAATTGTAACAGTAGCGACAGAAAGGGTTTAAAGGGGTTTCAAGAACTTAAGTTTGTCAAATAAACTAACCAAAGCCTAACACCAACCCAAATGCCCTAAACCATGTGTGCTAGGTGAATATTTTGGGCCGCCTGTAGGGGCCGTGTGGAGGAGGAAGCTATGTGCTCGCAACGCAGGAGGATGTGTCAAAGGTTTGGAAATGCGAGCATGCTGGGAGTTTCTTCATCTTCCTCTGCAAGAAGAGGCGATTGTCGAGAGAGAGGATCTTTGGCTCAGGGGATGCACGGGCACGAGAGATCTCCAGACCAGGAGAAAGATCCATGGCGATGCTCTTGTCCATGGGCCTGGGAGAAGCATTTACGTGGAGAACAGCCTTGTGAGCATGTATGGCAAGTGTGGGAGAATGGCCGACGCTCGCGGTGTTTTCGAGGGATGAAGCTCCACAGCGTTGTCTCATGGACGTCCCTGATAATGGGCTACGTCGACAATGGCGAGAACGAGCTCCCAACGAGAGAAATTTCGTAGCTGTGATGATGGCCTGTTCGAGCTCAAGATTGACGCGAAACTACTCAAAGCCTAGAGCTTGGAAAGAGGAGCAAAGCTGCCCTGCTACTACGAGGACGTGCTCGCGGCCAGCACTCTGATTGATATAGTGTGGGAACTTGGCTGATGCTCGCAAGGTGTTTGACAAGATGGTAAGTCCTACGGTTGTTTCATGGACGGCACTGATACTCGGCTATGCGGAGAATGGTGAGCCGGAGCTCGCTTTGCAGCTTTTCCAGCTCATGGAGTAGAAGGGCTGTCTGCCAAACTCCCGAATCTTCGTGGCTCTCTTCGTTGCCTGCGGTCGTCTAGCCACGAAAGAAGAAGGCAAGCGCGTTAATGGCAACGTCGTGAAGCCCAGAAAGGAACTCATCTACACTCCCGAGCAGCAAAACTTGGCTTTGATTCGGACATGTTCGTGGCGACTCATCGACATGTACGCGCCGTGTGGGAGCTTAGCGAGCGCCAGAGCAGTGTTTGAAGGGAAAACAGGACACGACGTAGCAACTTGGACGATTCAGGGGTACGCAGAGAACGGCGAATCAAACGCAGCTTTGAAGCTGTTTGAGCAAATGAGAACGCGCAACTGTGCACCGAATTCGCAGACGTACGTGGCTGTTCTTTTCGCATGCGGCAACCTGCTGCTCTTGATTCTGGGAGGCCATCCATGCAGAGATTTGTCGAAACGACAATGAGCCAAGTGCTCGACTTTTACAATGAGCCAAGTGTGGAAGCAGCGGCATTTTCGACTCGCTTCCAACGAGAACTTCCATCACTTGGAGCGCTCTGATAGCAGGATATGGCCGTGTGTTCCACGCATTCGAGAGCATGCGGGAGGACGGTGCCCAGGTTGACAGTGTCACATTCTTATGCGTGCTCTCGGCGTGTAGCCATGGTGCTTTGGTACAACGAGGGAAGCAGTAGTCCGAGCATGGCATCGCACCAAGCCTCGAGCACTACTACTTCTCTTGGGACGTGCAAATCATCTGGAGGAAGCACTGGCGATGATCGAAAACATGCCTTTCAAACCAACGTTAGTGACTTGGATGACGGTCCTGGGAGCTTGCGGGAAGTGGAAAGACGTGAAAACTGGAAGATATGCTTTTGAGTCACTGCTCAAGATAAATCCCAGCCACACCCCAGCGTTTGTTCTCATGGCTAACATCTACGGTAGCGTAGGAATGCTGGAGGAGCAACGCAGGATCATACCAGGGCCTTGGTAAGCAAAGAATTTTATTAAGTTTTCTCGTTTACTTTGATTGACACATCTTACTTTCAAGGCAGTGGAACCGGAACTTTGAGCCCCAGCAATGTATCTCGAGCCTTGATGGATGGTAAGACGACGGTGGCCACGGGATGCAGCAGCCATGTTCCACTGAAAATCTCCCCAGTGATCAGTGGATTATCATAGCCATGGTAGCGGCCAGAGAGATACGACCACACGAGGCTCCCGGAAGCAACCATTGCTAGCTCACTTGCGAACTTCGTCAGCTCCGAGTCGCAACCTTCTTCGTCGGCAATCTTCTTCTGCAAGGCCAGGATTGAGTGCTCTTCTGCTTGGATCATCTCACACAGCTGGTCAATCACATCCTGAAAGCTGATTCCGGAGGGGCCATGGTACGAGAGTACCGAGATCCAGTTGTGGTGATAATCGCCACCGTAAAACTCCTTCCGGAAGGACAGCAGGTCATTGACGAGAATGACGTAATCAGACACAGAGTTGAGGAGCTCCCGGAAGGTTGGAGACTGGATTTGAGCTTGGTTGAGGCGGATTCCCATACAGAACTCGGTCATGATGCCCCCGAGGATGTCCATGAATCCATTGGCACGACGGGTGAACTTATATTCTTCTGGTCCAGGGACGCTCTTCTTGGTTCGGTGGTGGACTTGCTTCCGGACGCCTTCGAGTGAAGCTGCCAGGCAGTGCAAGTAGCGGTCCAGCAAAGGTGGCTCCATGGCAGCTCGAAGCTCTCCCAGAACTTCTTTATACAGAAGCAGCACAGGATTCCGGATAGCTCCATCCCCGGAATTTCCACTGCCAAGGCTGGAGATGGTGGTGTTGAGCCGAGGCATCTCTTCCTTGCTGCTGGATTCGAGCAAATCGTCCATGAGGAGGAGGGCCCAGAGATTCTTACCGGCCAGGACGAGCTTCTCCCTCTCGGCATTGGGATGCATCATACAGGCGTACAGTCCCATCTTGGAGTGGATCATCTTCTTCCTCGCACTCTGGTCAGTGATCTTCATCTTGCGAAGCATCCACTCGTCGATCTGGGCACTGATCGTCGCGGATTGCGGGTGGTAGGCGAATGGGATGTTGTTGGGAAGCTGCGGAAGCTCGAAGTGCGTGACAGTGGAGAATTTGGAGATCAAAGTGGCCTCCATTTCTTTGCTCCTCTGCCCAAGAGCGTTTGCTGCCACAAGAAAGATGGACGAGTTTAAATCCCCCGACCAATGCCTAAGATTGTGACTGGTAAAAAGTATTGGCACGTTTTAAATGGTTTAGCAACATGTGGTTACTATGAAGAGGTACCAAGACAGGGTATCTAAAGGTTGTTGACATATACCACGTGCTCGGAATTGGGTGAAACCCTAACTGAGTGACAATCTTTTTTTAGGGCTTAAACCCTAACCCTAGGAGAACGAATATCTATTTACAAATCTCTCGCTTTGATTGATCAATCGAGTCCTCCCACCATGGACCACGAACTCCCCAGTTGATTCGCCATCTTCGTCACAGCTCCAGCCATCCACCGGTCTGGGAAATCCAGCATGGACGCTTCGTGCATGGATGAAAGCAGCTCTTTCTTCACTTGGGCAGACAAAGCCAAGCACTTAGGCCCGTTTGCTCGAAACAGCTCCGTCAGCTGCAAACAAAGGATCCAATCCTCGAGTGAGGAAACACTCCGAAAAACAAGAGTTGTGTGTGTACCTGTCGAATCCAAGGCAAGGCGCAATCCACAAAGCCCGGCTGCTGCAAAAACTGGGAGATGGAATGGAGTAACTCCGAGACCGTCTCGCTCGAGAGCTGGTCCAGTACGGGGCCGGTCCTGGTCATGAGACGAACCATGAGAAGCTCGTCCCCGGTGCAAATCACCTCCTCGTACGCCGAGTCCAGATCTCCCGACTGCAAGCTCTCCATGATCCGGCTCCAAACGTTCCAAGAGCTCCCGTTAAGTTGGTGGTGGTGAGCGTTGCCACCACCATTTCCACCGCCCTGCGCGCTCTCGGAGCTGGCTTCCATGGATCCGGCAGAGTTTAAGAGCTTCAAGTTCTCGGCCTCGCAGAGGGGATTGCCACCGCCAACGTCGCCGGCAACTCGTATCGCAGCCAGAGTAGCTTCGTCCTTGGAGGCTCTCCAAACACTTCTAGCCGACGGGCCTTCGCCGACGAGGCGACCACCGCCATTGCTGGTGTTGTGAGCTCTGCCGCTGCTACGCTCCGAGCCATCCTGGTTTTCAATGTGACTAGATCGACCACCATTGCCATTTGCTCTCCCGGCTCGGAAGACTTCATTCCAAGTTTCACTGTTTTCTCTGAAGAACCTGTTGTTGCTGCCTATGGGAGATCTGTCCGGGAAGTAGCCTGCCACTCTCGTGGTCGCTGCTGAGCCATTTACCTCCGGCATATGATCGCCACCTTCGTCTCCAAAGAAGCTGTTCCTAGAAATTCCAATGGAAGCGGCTGTGAGACGTGCCATGTCTTCTAGAGCTCTCTCTAATCTCTGGACCCGAGACTCAAGACTCAAGGTGTTCTCATGGCTGTTTCCCATAAACTCCTGCAAGAAAACCAAGATTAAAAAAAAAATGAAAACGAGAATGGCTACTTACCTGGAGCATCTCCATCAAGTCCGACTGCCCCTTCTCGAGCTGTGAGAGCTGACGTCCTATCGAAACTAAATCCTCGCTCTTCTTCTGCTGCTCGCTGCTTGAGTTGCTTGCGTCGACTTGCTTTTGCTGCTGCTGCTGCTGCTGTGATTGCTGAGAGTGAGAGTGTTGAGACCATCCATTACTCGTGGCCTTGTTGATGCTTCTCACTTCTTCCACGGGCGGCTTTGTCTCCACGGCTTCGAACTTGCTCGTCACCACCTCACTCGGCCTCCTGTTAAATCCGAGCTTGTCTTTCTCCTCGTGACTTTCACTCAAGCTACCATTGCTCAACGCGTTCACCACCGCCGCGACTTTCCCAGCGGGAACGGGGATATGCTTGTCCAGAACCTGTTGCGTCACCACTGCCGCCTCTTCGTGATTCTCCTTGTTGTGAGAAGCTGGCGGAGACCCTCGAGGAACAGCCACCTCGATCTGCCAATCGTCCGAGTTCCGGATGGAGAGTTTCCGGAAGAAATCTAAGTTGGTCTTTCGCTCCGAAACACCGGACGAGCCCGTCGTCTTCTTCTTCACGGATCCTTTGTCTTCAGCACTCGTAGCGGAATTGGGACTGCATCTCCGTAGCAGGTCACTCGTCAAGTGCTTCCGGTTGGAAGATGATTTCAGCGTTCCATTCGAGTCATTACCTGTGAAGTTTCAGGGATTCGATCACGTCAAGCTGTGGAAGCGTATACAAACGACTTACTTTTCGTGGAAACGGTCCTGGAAGGAGACGAATCCACTACGGGAGGATCAGGAACATTCTTCCAGATGTGGATAGCATCAACGACAGATTCCCGAGCCGGCTTCACCTGAAACAAAACAAAAACAGGAACATAAAAAAGTAGAAAACAAGCAACAAGAGGTTGATCCACGAAACCTTGTCAAAACGATATGAATCCAAAAGCGCCATGGTCGATGACTTGAAGTTGGTCAAAGGTGGTCCTCCGACACTCAATGCGACGGAGGCGAAAGTATCCGCGGCAGCCTTGCGCGTTGCCCAGTCGCTGCTCTGCAGCGACTCTTGCAAGGACGCTATAATAGCTGCTAAATGCAGAGTTATCCCAACACCTGATGCCTGCAAGCCATCCACCACCCGTTCGCGAAAATCTACGTTAGAGATCGATCATCCGACGACGTAGACTCGAAGACAACCAAGTAAGAAAACCAAAACTTCAGGCACAAACCAAAGCTTGGAAGCAAAAATGGGAAAGAAAAACTAAAACTTGAGCACACAACAATAAGAACACAATAGCATGAAAAAAAAAACTTGGGAGAGATCGAGCATACAATAGGTAGTAGAAAAGCAAGCATGACGTAACGAAGTAGAAAAGGGCCAAAGCTTTAGAACATACCCGAGAAAGTCCACCGAGAGACGGCAACAAAGCTGGCTTGGCGTTGAAGTTGGGACTGGAAAGGAACTTGAGAATTCTCACGCAAAGCCGCTGCGTACAAGCGGGTGGCAAGTCTCGAGCATTATCCATGGCCCTGGCAAGCGACATGGCGGCACCAATCTGGACGCTCCTCGCCTGCTCGTTGAGCGTATCAAACAGCGGCTTGGTGAAAACTCCCACAGGCCCCGAGAAAGCAACTTGATCCTGGTTTCCACCACCGCTGCCACCATTCGCCAGGGACGCCGGAGCCGGGACGTGAGCGACCAAAGTTCCGAAAGTATCCACACAAGCGTCCCTGATGTTGGAGTCGGGCTCCTTGAGCCTCTTGACGAGCGAAGCTATGATCTTCTGGAGGTGTGGAGTGAGCAAATCTCCATACAAAGTTGCCAGGATCCCGAGTAGCTTCACGCCTTCCCTGCGAACTACGCTCTTCTGGTCCGAACTTATCTCGTAGAGGCATCCCAGGAACACGGAGATCCCGTCCGGCTGGAGGGTCTCGGCAATCCTCAAGAGCTCGTCCGTGGCAATCTGCTGTGTGTCCCTGTCTGCTAGCTTGTTCAATGCTGAGAGAATGGAGAGCTTCAAATCCATGGCGACCCTTCCTCGAGCGACCCTCTGTGCCATTTATTTTTCTTCTCTTCTTTGATTCTTCCTCTACTCTCGGTTACCAACGACAGATCTGGTGCTCTGAAAGAAACAGACCCACGAACTTGAATGAGAATGCCGAGCGTATATTGGTAGACACCGCCAAGCTCAAGAATATGACTGGTACCAAGCACGCAAGGAGAGACCACTCTCGACTCAAATCACCCTCATCTCCAGCTCGTCCACCATCGCAGATCTCAAACAAAGAAAGTACCACTGGCACTATCGCTCGAATTCAAAATCGAGTGAGTGAAAGTCTAAAGAATGAAAGGAGAAAAAACACTTTTTTGGAAAGAATCATATCAAACGGATGAAGATCATGAAATCTGGATCCAGACCACACCAGCCCAATGCAAGAAAGCAAGTCATCTCCAAACGCGCAAGACGAACAAGAACAAGATCTAGAGAGAGCTCGCTCACCTCGAAGGGCTACAGTGTCGAAAAAAATATTGCCTTTGCGAGTGTTGGTACGTCGTGTCGAGGCCCACAAACAAATCATATCACCATCTCCGGCCCCAGCACTTCCTTTCGAATGCCTAAAAAGAGTATTCCTTTTGGTATCACTGCTCCATCCATTAACCATTCTCCACACCTTGCTCGACCATTTCTCTAAGCTGAAGAAGCAAAAGAGCGAGAGCTATCAGTGGTTTTTCTATTTCCACCCTACAACTCTTTGGAAGATGTCGTGATCAAAGCAAGCAGGGAATCAAGCTCAACTTTGCACAAGAACAAAACCGGTCAAGGTACACATCACCACAAACTTGCGTACTTTCGTTTTCATGCACAGTTGAAACACCAGAACGCTGTGCCGAGCTAAAAATCCAAAAACTCGCACCGACAGTGGCCACGAGGAATGACATGAGCTCACATGGACATGATTCAAGCACACAAACACACGGCCGTGAAATGGCTGCTGTGCAAACAAGACAAGATGCTCAGACGACCTGAGTGAAAACCACATTTGATCCAACACTTTCATGCTTGGAAAAGAAAAGCGAGGTAACAGGAAAAAAAAGGATGGACAGCAGCTCTGATGACCCAGTCAAGATCAAGAGCCAAGACTCAGATCCAGGGAGGAGCAAAAAGAAAACAAAAAAACCCATGATCTCTGTGACGCAAGGAGACAAAAGCCCTTCACAAGAAAGCCCAGTTTCAAATCCAGATGGGTGTTCTTACCTTGGAGCTGGAGATCATGGATTCGTTCGTCCTGGTGGCTTCGCTCCTCCCGGAAGAAAATGCCGCTTCATTCTTGTAAACCCCAGAAAAGAAACATTGAAACCCCCGAAGTTTTAACAGCTAGTTCTTTTTTTCTTTTTTTTTGTTTGCGCTTTCAAAGCAGCAGAGATCATGCTTTCTGGTTCCAGTGACTCGCCTGGATGATTTTACTCCACACAGGGGAAAATCAGATGTTCTGTGCGATGCAATAAATGGATGCCTGGCCTTTGCCAATCAAGTTGGCCCCCATCAAGTTAAAAGAATGTTTTTCCTTGGTCTCGCAGACAAGCTTTTCTTCGTGATAGTCCAGCTTTACCAAGACCTTGTTCCTAGAAATTCAAGAAGAAAAAGCTCTCAAATGCAAATGCGGTGAGTTTTCCATCGCGTTCGCTCGAAACGCGGTGAGTTTTCCATCGCCTTCACTCGAACGAGGAAGCTCGCAGTTTTTTTTTCTATTTGCCCAAGTCTTATTGCCGATGGATTGTAGCACTGCGCTCGTTTTCATGTTGTTAGGTTGGGACCCTCCAACTCCAGCTGAATTCTTCTCCTCTTCCACCACTTTTGCTGCTGCTGGGACCAAGAATTACATCATCAAAATCACATCTTTCGAAAGCACCCAGACTGTTCCAGCAAAGAACTGGACCGCGCATGGGATTCCCTTAAGAAATACGAACATGCGTGCTCTAGGTAGGGCAAACTTGGCTATGGTGGTGGGCGTTGACCGAGGTTGCCACAGCCGAGCGTACGCCCGCTCGAGCCAGCACGGGGTGGTTTGACTTTCGCGCCGCGCAAAGCATTTAAAAACACCACTCGTACATTCGATAGTACGCTCTAGTACACAAAATCTATAGCTCCATTCCATCCAACCCGGATTCCAATTCCAACTCGATCGATCGATCCAATTCCAATCGAGGAGAATGTCTGCTGTGTGTATCAGCGACGCGACCTCTTGCATCGACGCCGATGCCGCCAGGCGCCTCAACGTCGGCGCCCTCTTCGCGATCCTCATCACTTCCATCCTGGGCGTCGCCGTGCCGCTGCTCGTCAAGGGATTCACGCAAGGCCGGCTCTTCTTCGCGGGGCGATGCTTCTCCGCCGGGATCATCCTCGCCACGGGCTTCGTGCACTTGTTGCCCGAGTCGTTTGACACGCTCGGCAGCGATTGCCTGCCCGAGATGCCGTGGGGGAAGTTCCCATTCGCGGGACTCATCGCCATGCTCGCCGTCATCTTCACGCTGTGCATGGACACCATGGGCATGACGTACTACACTCGTCTCAATGCGGGGATGGACAAGGATCAAAAGAATGATCTGGAGCTTGCAACCACAGCTAGCAACAATGGCAATGCGGTTGTAGAACCTTGTGGCCATGGCGGGCACTCGCATACTCTCGATATTGGCGTGAGCGCGGAAGCTCGCAACAAAGTTATAGCTCAGGTGAGTTATCTCTCCATGATCTCTAAAGTTGAGTTCGTGAGTTTGGGGTTCTGGATCGATCAAGGTTACAACCTCGATTGAATTCTGTTCTATAGTTGCAAGAATTGTCTAGACTTGTGCTTGGGCGCTTGCAATGTTTTTGATCGTGGACTGTCACATACGTCTAAAGGTTTCATGGATACGCACAGGTCTTGGAGCTTGGAATCATCACTCACTCGGTTGTGATTGGTATTGGCGTGGGTGTTTTGAAGAGCCCTTGCACAATCAGGCCCCTTATTGCAGCACTGTGCTTCCACCAGTTCTTCGAGGGGATGGCACTCGGTGGATGCATTTGCTTGGGCGATTTCACAGTCAAAACTCAAGCGATCATGGCTTTCTTCTTCAGCTTTACAACGCCCGCTGGGATGGCGATCGGGCTTGGAATCGCTTCCACGTATAATGAGTTCGATCACAAGGCGCTGCTTATCCAAGGCTTCTTCAACTCCACGTCCTCGGGGATTTTGGTTTACATGGCTCTCGTGGACTTGATCGCTACTGATTTCTTGAGCAAGGAGTTCTTCACCAGCATTCCACGCCAACTTGTGGGCTACTCGTCACTTCTCCTCGGAGCAATCCTCATGTCGATTATTGGAATATGGGCGTAAAGATTGCAACTAGTGGTAGATATTCCAACAAAGCACAATAGCTCTTTCACACATTAAATTTGTATGTACTTGTCCAAACAGTTAAATTTGGGCATTAGCGTTTCTATTCTTCCTTTGTTGAAAATAATAATTTTTCTATTCTTTTTGCTTTATGATTAGAAATGTCATATATAAATAAGCATCCTGTTTTTTATTCTTTAAGAGTTGTCATGGCTGTCATTGTGCAGCTAGTACAAGTTTTGGTTCCCTTGGATGGATAGATCTGCCAACACAGTGAGCCAGATTAATAGGTACACGATAGAATACTTTATTAAGGTTTTAGTTTATTAAACTATCTATCACCTAATTTACAGAATAAATTATTATTTTAATATTTAATTTAGTATTATAGTCATTCTCTTATTTATAAAAAGTGTCTAGATTTGCTTATTTGTCATATCTACGGAATGTAGAGATTGTTCTGAACACAATGGTGTTCGTCCCATATCCAAATTCGCAATCTAAAGACATTCCATATTTAGTAAATTTTAAGTTAATCCCAAAAACTAACTCCTGGTACTAAAAATGGCTTAGGGTGAAAGCCTAAAGCATGTATTCCTCAGGGGGGGGAGGGGGGGGAAGATATAAGGGGTTTCAAATGTATAATAGAGATAGTGGGTAGGTCAAGCATGGCTGACTAACCTGAGGCATAGTTTAACTCCCGTTTGTGTGCCTAACCTTGTTCTGTGTTTGGCTTGGGTCTAAGCCCAAATTCTATTCCATGCTAGCTGGTGGAATACCCATATCCTCACGTTAGGCCATCGGTATGTCGAAATAACGCTAAACTCTGTTTAGCTCTATTTTGCGTGTTGGTTTTGGCATTGGGATGTTAATTGCTCTAGAACTTATCCAAGTTGCTCCATGCTCATGTCCCTTTGCTCCTTGGGCTACATGCTCGGGAGTCATTCTATACTCCAGTGCCATTGCTCTTTGGCTCCATGCTTAGGAGTTTGGCATCATTCCTTCGTTCAATGGCCCAAGGCCCTAAACCTTGGGTTTCACACCACTGTCATATGGACACATGGCATGTGACACGTGGCATATGGAGGGTTTAGGTTCTACTTCGTGATGTTATCCTATGGTAAATCACTATAGGATAAAGGGTAAAAACCACATGCACTACATAAATCCATGTGTGGCTACATCTTTTTAATGAGAGCAACTCCATTTTCAATACTATCCACCAATATTTTGAAAACACAATAATAGATCCTCTAAAATATTCTTTGCATATGCCACATAGCTAATGGTTAAGTCAAGAGTCACTATATAGTCACTACCATTGAGAAGGCATTTGTACACAATGTGAGACACAAATCCCTAAGCCCCAAAGTAGAGCCGAAAGGGTGCCACGTAGTAGTGGCCAAAGTGAAAGCCAAATGAGCGTAACACATTTGGACTAAAAGATCCAACTTGAATAGTCGAGAATGGGAGTGGAACTCCCGACAAAGTGCTCAAGGAATGAGCATGAAGCGAGCAATAAGAGAGTCTCTAAAAAAGGGACACAAAAGGACCAACACATGAGATGTGGTGGAGTCTGAGATGGACCCAAGATGGGACCCGAGATGGACCTGAGATGGAATCTGAGATGAAGTCCAAGATGGAGTTTGAGATGAATCCAAGGTGGACCCGAGATGGACCTGAGATGGAGTTCAAGATGAAGTCCGAGATGGAGTTTGAGATGGACCGAGATGGAATTTGAGATAGAGTCCAAGATGGACTCGAGATGGACCCGAGATGGAGTCTGAGATGGAGTCTGAGATGGACTGAGATGGAATCTAAGATGGAGTTTGAGATGGAGTCTGAGATGGAGTCCGAGATGGACTTGAGATGGAATCCAAGATGGAGTCCAAGAAGGACCTGAGATGGAGTCTGAGGTCGAGACCGAGATCGAGACTGAGACTGGGACTAGGACTAAGACCGAGACCAGGACCGAGGCTGAGGCCAAGACTAAGGCTGAGGTCAAGACCGAGCCCAAGCTCGAGTTCGAGTCTGAGTTCAAGTTTGAGTCTCAGGGTGAAAGCCCAAAGCATTTGTCTCCTAGACCCTAGGGGGTTTGGTGAGCTCCAAAAGTATA